GAAAATTGTCTCTAAAATGTGTTAATATTTCATGGGTAAGTTGAAACATTGACAGATAACGATTCTATTAGAAAATGATCACATCTTTTGAAATGCAATTGGTAAATTTAACTTCCTACGTTATATTGACTTTTAAAAAACCTTGCATTGGTATCACAGATAACAAACGTCCCACCAGGTACAAATTTCAATGCTGTCTGCACAAATAACCTGGAATTTATGCAATGAAAATTACATCAGATTTTAGATACATTGAGTTAAAATAATACTACATACACATAAAGATGATCGTCATTGCGCAAAAAGACAAAACACTAAATGATTAAAGTAAAATAGAAAGAGACCCAAGTTTCTAAGGTACCCATGCCGACTAACAAACATTATTAAATTATCGGAAGGGACAATAAGTTTGTTCCGTCTGTTAAAACTCGAATTATATAATCAAGCGATGAGTATTTAAAATGTTTAGATTGTGTTGCATTTTAGAAAAACTCGAATTATATAATCAAGCGATGAGTATTTAAAATGTTTAGATTGTGTTGCATTTTAAAAATGACTGATAAAAACGATCAAGTTATTGAAGTCAGTGAATTTGTAAAAGGCGTCAACTCCTTCACAATACACAACCAGTGCATTATGATAACAATAAGGGACAAACTTTTAATAATAGTGGGGAAAATCATGATGCAAATCAAAATGACAAAACTCGTAGCATAAGTAACGCTTATCTGGCAATCTTTTGTAGAAAAAAAATTAGATCAGTTAGAGATGAAGGTAATTCCCACAAATTTTGGAGTCTTATCTTTATATTAATGCATAAAATGAACATTTAAAGGATAAGTTTTATTCCATATTTTCATCAGTAGTTTGTACAGTGTATTCCTTTTTTCTAAACTGTAATTTCAGTGCATTTCCTGAGAGTTTTCATTTAAGGGTTTGTGCCTCTTTACATCCAATAATCATGCTTAAGAATAGGGAAAGCTGCCTTTTCAATTTTAAATAGTTAATTACATTTTCGTAACTGTATCAATTTCTTACACATTTTCTAACTAAATAAACACATCACCTATAAAACCCTTAGAAAAAAATGCATCCTAATTTCAAAATGTAATTTTGATGAAACATAGAGATAGAGAACAGTATTCAAGATCAAAAGTCCATTAAACAATACAAAATATGAGCAGAGTAAACTGGGACATCCAAAAACATCAGAGGTAGGATTAGATGCCATGGAGGAGAGAGCATCCCGTTCCGACCTGTGAAATCCGCCATGTGCTCGTCATGATCCTGAAGTCACGAAAAACAATGACGTCAATTTTTTAGTATTTAAATAAAGGACTATCAATTAGAATGAAATACGTCGGTCAGCACTTGACTCAATGATAAATAGTATATGCTGACAATGTCATTGTATCGACCATAGAACTTACAAAATGATGACTTTAAATCCGAATTTCCTTGTTTCATCAACTTGTTTGTCAAAAAATATATTTTGAATTGTATTTCCTTGTGTATTTAATATATTTAACATGTTGATGGATATTATATCTGAGGACAGATTAACATTTTTATAGCTGAGGAGAGGTTATTTATTCTAGGGGAGTATGTGATGGGTACTAACTTCGCCCCATTATTAGCAGACCTATTTCTGCATTTCTATAAAGTAAAAATTTGTCCAAAATCTTGTACTTGAATCGAAAAAAAAATTGCTGTGGCCTTCAACTCGACATTTAGCTTTGAAGTAAAACTTGAATCCGGTATGTTGTTCAGTCCGATGTAATATTTTAGTCCCTGAATTTTCTTTCTAATTTCCGTTTAAGGTATTACATGTATAACAAGCACTACTAGAGAATGGAATAATACTGCATATTTTCTCATGAAGACACTTTGAATGTTTTGATTCCAAGTTTTTATTAAATTTTGTCCAAGCGTATTTGAAAAATGAAGCATTTTCAAACCATACCCTCCTGTGTAGAAACAGTGAAGGGGCTGTTATACTATAACAAAAATTTTAATTACTTAATTTCACTTTAATACAAAGGTTTCACTGTGAATCACAGGCCTTTGGATCGCTTAAAAAAATTTGTGTGTGTAAAAAAAAATAAAGGTACTGAACTCTTACACTGGGTACCTAATTTCGCTAATAAATTTTTTTTATTCCAATGCTCTAAAATTCTACTTTCTATTCAAATCTATTCATAGATAAACATTCTTCATTGCTACCAAAGTTCATTCCGAAATTCCATATATTTCTTGAGATATTCTGAAATCAATTTCAAAAATGACCTTCTTTCTTTTACTCGACATTAGCTTGGGCCCCTGGTCATTCACATGTAAACCAGTGGCGTAGCTAGCTTTTATTTGATTGTATTCAAAAAAGGCAAGGGGTCTGGGGGCCGCCTTAAGGCCCCCAGCGGGTCCAGGGCAGCGCCCTGGTGGGGCCCAGGGGGCGAAGCCCCCGGAAGCTCCTGGATTTTAGGAGATTTGACTGACAAAAACTACCTTAAAAATGGCCTTCTTATGAGCAGTTATTTCAATACATATGAACAAAAATTGAGGAATTATCGAGCATTATGTAGACAGCGGATAAAATTCCAACTACAGTGGACCCTCATTTATCCGGACGCTTTAGTTCCCAGTCAATTTGTCCGGATATGTGAAGCATCCGGATATCTGAATCACCAGTTAAACAAGACAGAATAACATTTTAAAATTTTGTTCCGATGAAAAATCGTCCGGATACTGAAGCATCCGGATATCTGGCGTCCGGATATCTGAAGGTCCACTGTACTATCAAAAATATACCGTAACGAATAAGGGCTATACCTTCCCAACCTGTGACGGAGTAATGGTGTAGTCCGGGAGGCTGTTAACCCCTGCTTGAATGGTATAGCCCATTTAATATATTAAAAACGCTGTACACTCCAAAGTAAGGAGTCTGAACGAAGCAAACGAATAGAGAAGGTAAACTCTTAAAGTCATTGCAAATGATATTGAAATCAAGTTTTGAGTAAGATGAAATACTGCAAGAGGAAAGATATATTTTTATGTGTTAATTTGAAATACAGAGTGTACCTATAAAGAACTATTAGGTAAAAGGATACTATACATTTATTAATGTTGAATTTTAGTTGATTCATTGTATTTTAATTATGGTTCTCGAACAACATAAAAGTCATAAAAACATATGTTTTATTGATTCTCATTTCTTCTTTGGATTCAAAAACGTTAAACGGAATTCAAATTTTATAAACGCTGAAATGATTAAAATTTATTGAAATGTCCGAGTCTCAAATTGAAATCTTATTAAGCATGAATTGTATACAATGGCAATACGTGAATAATTAACTGGTTTACTGGTTAAAGGAGTGGAAAATATTTTTGTGACATTCAGAAAGTTATACCGTAAAATGGTATCTTAATATTTTATTATGTATACAGAGTCATTTATAACAAGAAAAAGCAGAAGGGTGACTTGCAGAAGTTTACAGTGTATCTAATATAAATTCTTCTTTTAGAATGCATCAGAAGTAGATGATATGTTCGTGTGCATAACTAAAAGAATTTCCATTTACGACTTTTTGCCGCCGCAAAATCATTCAAAATGGCATCGATCTCAATGGGTACATCTCGGTGGATGTGAAGTAAGGCGAGAGATGATAACCGTTCCTGGTTTATAGTTGAACTTAAATATGTCTTCACGCGCTTCAGAACGCTGAACGATCGCTCGACAGTTGCAGTTGCAACAGGCATGGTTAAAAGGACCATGAGAATGGCAGATATCGATGGATAAAGAGTGGAATTCGTATTATCTAGAACTTCGACAATTGAGCTTGGAACAACTGCATGCATCTGCCATTTCACCTTCCAGCGCTCAACTTCAGCTCGAAATGTCTCCACATTCCCAACAACGTCGGTTTTGAATGTATCGAAAATGGACAGCACTTTTTCGTTGGTAAGACCCTGGATTTTTGAGGGGAGAAGAAAAAATGCCTGAAACCGTTGCTCAGCCCCTAAAAGCCTGTCCTCTAGCTGCTGCACGAGGTGATCAATAAAAACGTAGAACAGAACCTTTCTCCAGTATTCGGAGGGTGTAACAGCAGGAATATTGGCTCTGTTCTGTTGTCGACCGGCTCGTCGGGGCATCGTGGGCTCTACATCAAATTGATCAGCTAAAGACACTGATTCTTCGAAAAGGGCGTCCCACACCTGCTGATCATTTCTAGCATCATTAAGCTGTGTCAGAACAATACGACACTCTTCGATAGCGGAAAGCATATCGCATTTTGGATCCTGTAAGAAGAATGATAAATGAACAACCAGGCGTAAGATGTGCTCACAAGCAACTAGACCTACAATAAAATCAAATCGTAGAATGGAGGACAGATATATAGCTGCTTTGTCGTCGTGTTGTGTGACAAGATGCTCCAGAGTATGGACAACAACAGGGAACGCTGTTTTAAAAGTAGTTAGAGCGTCAGACCGGCTTATCCACCTGGTCTCACAGAGAGACTTCAATTTAGTTTTCCTGTCCATCGCCTCTTTGACGTCTTCGTCATCCTGCAACTCGTCGAAGAATGCTTCTAGCCGCTTTGCCGAGTAGTGAAAGGCAAATGCACACTCCTGCACAACAGACATCATAGTTCGTATAATGGGCTCTTAGCAGGAGTCTACAACGGCCAAATTCAGACAATGGGCTTTACAGTGGACATATAGAGCATCAGGGGCCGAGCGTCGTACAATTGCCTGAACGCCATTGTGTTTGCCGGACATGTTGCTTGCCCCATCATAGCCCTGAGCACGGAGTTTTTCTAATGATAGACCATGGGTTTGCATAAAGTCGAGGAGAATTTCAGCAATGTAGGCACCTGTTGTGTGTTTTGCATGCAAAAAGCCCAGAAATATTTCTTTTATTTCTGCATTATTTTCGGCATGGACATAGCGAATACAAACAGAAAACTGAACTTTTGTGGATCTATCTTGTGTCTCATCAGCAAGAATAGCGAAGAAAGGAGCTTTTTGATAACAGTCTTTTAGCTTTTTCAGTATTTGATCAGCACAGATTTTAATTATTTCATTTTGTACATCGGGAGAAGTGTATTTTACGCCTGTCGAGAATGCAAGATGGTCAGAAAGAATAGGGTCATTTTTGGCAAGATTTTCTAGAATTGCAATAAAATTGCTTCGATCCTCTGTATGACCACGCAATGGTATGTTTTGACGACCACAAAGAATAATCACTTCAATTATTTTGGACAAAATGTGTCTGTTTTTAGCTAAGTTTTCTCGGTGTACTGAGGATAAAGAGGATGCTATCGATGGTGATTCAGAGTCGACAATTTTCATGAAATCATCCCCCATTCCAGTATAATCGTGGTGTTTTGACTTTTCAAGAAGGTGTCGCTTAATTAATTGGGATATGTTAGACCAGTTTGTTACAGGAGATGAAAAACTGAATGATATACTTCCTTTTTCCTTTGGGCCAAATAACACACAATACGCGCAAAAGAGAGAATCAGTGCTCTCAGAATAACGCAGCCAAGGATAATCTTTCAACCATGCTGCCTGCAATTTTCTTTTGGATCCAGAAATTATTCTATATTGAAAAAAAAATTAAATTTTTGATTCTGTATTTTTTGAATATTTGGAAAAGTTAAAAATTCGATTTTTTATATTACACTGTAATTGAATTTTTTTTCAATGCAAGTACTGATGCAAAGTTTTAAATATTTTAAAAACATTTTTTATTTCTCCAGACAGGGGCGATGTAGGGGTTGGGAAGGGAGGTTATTTTGTATTTCACTGGTGAAATAAAGTTGTATAATATTAACATAGTAACATGACTGTTTTATAAAGACAACGTAACCCTGCACCACCACCCCCTCCCTTTCCAACACACACCTTCATCCGACAAAAATTAAATATTTGTAAATTATAGTATTTATATCGACACTTTTTGATATTTAATTTATATTACAATTAGAAAAGTAATGTGTTTATTGTTGTTGTTTGTTTTCTTTTGTTTGATTTGTTGTTTGTTCCTTTATTATTATTAAAAACTGACCTCGACGGAAACTGGAAATCAAACATTTTGTCCCATTTTCCAGTTAGCAGTGAACGTTTTACTTCTGTGTTCGACAGGTCTGCTTTATTTAACTTTGCGATGTCTGGGTATTCTGGTCCATGCGAATTCTCCTTCTTTTCAGAAATGGTCGCGGATACACTGGCACTGGACTGACTTTTTTCCTAAGATGTTTTCTCGGGATTCGTATTTGAAAATTTCAAAAATGACTTGATATTGCTTTGAATCGACATTATGAAATTTGTCCTTGAATTTTTAAGAACATTATATGATACAAGAAATACACAAGACCTATATAAAACTGAAATTCGCACGGTTAAATGTAGGGATAAAATAAATCCGAAATGCAATATGAAAAAATAAATACAAAGAAATTAAAAAAAAAAACACAAAGGCATTAATCTTGCTTATTCCATAATTTATTTGATAAATTTATATTAAATTATGAAATTATGAAAATCATTTTTTTTTTTTTTGGCAAAAATCCGTGTATTCATTTGCGTTGCTGCGTATAGGGCGCTACGCCACTGTAAACAGACGGTGTTTGAAGTGCGGCGAAGACTTGCGTAGTATTTACAAAATCTTTCAACAATTTAAATTTGATTTCTTACTCCAGATTTTATCGTTAAGTCCGTAATAATATTCCTTCCGCGAAAAATTAATTTGAAAACGTCTGCATTAACAACTACCGCCATGTTGATTATGAATGTAAATGCAGTAATGGTAGAACGAATTTTTCCCGGAATGCATTATATACCTTTCGATTTTCAAAACAAATAGACCGCTAAATTGTTGTTTGTGACTTAGTTACACCATATGATCAAATTAAAGAAAAACCTTGTAAAGCTTGAATGCAAATGAGCAAATATTCATTGAGTTTAGAATAAATTCCGGGAAAAATTGGCCCCGTCGTTCTCGCCTTACTATTAGTGAAGGCCCAAGCTGATGTCGAGTAAAAAAAATAAGGTCAATTTGGGAATTGATTTCAGAATATCTCGAGAAGTATTAGGAATTACGGAATGAACTTTGGTAGCAATGAAGTTTGTTTATATTTGAATAGATATGGATAGAAATTAAAATTGTAAAGCATTTGATTCAAAGGAATTTTATTGGCAATGTAGGTATCCCATGAAAAGAGTTCCATACCTTTATTTTTTTTCAACACCTCAATTTTTTTTTCTAAGCAATTTAAAGGCCTGTGCTGTGAATGTACAAAAATGTCATAGGTGATTAATAAAAAAAACAATTTATTATTAGAAATTATCATTTATTAATATTATTTCTGGTTTACTGACCTTATTCAATGGTAAGCATGCATTTCATACAACTTCATTTTTAATTTTTTTTTTTAAATCCCAGTATGCTTTGGGCTACAATTAACATCAACAGAAATTGACTCTAATGATTACTTTCCATAAAGAAATACATAAAATATTTTTCACCATGGTATTTTGAAATTATTAAGCATTTATTACCCCTACCCCCTATATCATTGTTCAATTAGCAGAGACAGGTATGTAACTTATCATCTTAAACACTCTAACTTTTGTAAGATTATAGTTATTTTTTGATACCATTTTAATAGGCATGCAAAAATGAGTCTCATGGCCTATTTTACAAGGACCTTGACCTTTTAACCTTGAAAAAAAATGTAAGATTTACTTAATAACAACAAAATACATTGTATATATTTTAATAAAATTAGAATTAGATCATCTAACCAAAACATTTTCACTACAATAATTCCCACTGATTGATACAAACATCTGTGTTTATACTTTTACAAATTTGAGCCTCATTCAACATCCTTGCAGTCCAAATACATGTATACCTGCTGTACTAGGTCAAAAACATCTCACCTTGAACTTCTAGAATCCTGGAGTAAACATTTTTACAATACAATCAGTATACAATTATTAACTTTTGATGAGGTCTTCTCATGAGTATACTGACCTGGTCAGGTATTTGTTGACCGAGGCCAAACACCGAGGGTAATCAATAACCTTACCAGATCCATATACTAACAAGTATACCAAATTCAAAAATCAATAACTGTTTTATCAAATCAGGAGTTTTACAACATTTTTGAAACTATAATCCATGTCTTCAACACATATAAACACTTATAATGTAAATTTTAGTGTAAACAATGAATACGTAAAGCGGCACTGTGACACACAATGAGGAAAATTGACAAATGTAGAATTTTTGCATGCTCCAGTTAAATGTTGTTTACAAGTTTGAGCTAAAAATAAAAGTGGCGTGACCTTGACAAACACAAAAGCAACGAAACAGTAGATAAAACCTTTGTTTTTCCGGCACTTATATCATGCATTGTCATACCTTAGCTATTTCTCTATTTTAACACTAATCTAGCATAAATGTACATGGTTTTGTTCATCTAACACAATTAAAAATCACAACTAGAAAAAAACTGCCCTAATTTGGGGATGATTTCCTCAAGGGCTTTCTTGACGTTTGTAACACGTGGTTGACCTTCACGATTTTTACACGAAAATATGTTCCTTAGCGCATCCTCTCCATCGCGTTCAAATATTTTCTTCAAATGACCCAGATTTAGTCCAGACCCGGCCACCTTTTCTGCGATACTTATTTTAAGGATTCCTTTATCACCAAGCAAATGCAAAGATGAAACGTTCTTTGCTTTTTCTCTGTTGAACTTTATTTGATTGATAACAGCAGCTGGTGGGAAACTGTGAATACACATTTTGGTAGCATCAAATCTTGTGTGGGGAAATCAGCTTTCCTACATGTAGGACCTTCACATCCTCCATAGCATTTTGGGCATCATATGTGGTGTTTAAGACTGTCATGGCCAAATCTTTTTGCTTGTACGACTGGGAAGTGAAGGCCTTGAATATACTGGGACTGTCTATACATCCTATTACACAGTCTAGAAATTCTGCCTCGCATTTTATGTTCATCATTGCATTCATTAATACCGGAAAATCAAATTTTCGTCCATTGTGGGCAATCAAATACACACTAGGATATCTCTTTAGCCATTAGCAGAATTTATCAATGGAAGAATAAAGGTCTTTTGTATGAACCTGTTGACCATGGACAGTCATTGTCCCACTATTGTTGACAATTATCCCGGTTATCTGCTGTGCAGTGGAAGCAATTGGAAACTTTGGGTAAACTTAAGCAGAAAACTCCGACACCGACCCCACGACTGATGCAGCAATTTGTGTGATATGTGGATATTTCCCTCCACGCACTGAAATATACAAATGTTTCTTAGTTGTTAAATACTGATTAACATATTAACATGTACTAGTAGTTATCTTCTTGCTGCAATTTATAATTTACCCAAGTCAGTTGTCTCCAAGTCAAAAACAATGAAGGTAGTATTTTCCCCTGCAGGCACAAATTTGAAGTGTTCTTGAGGCACTGCTTCTGGTAAGTGCTCGACATCAGCATCAACAGTAAGCCCAATACCTGCATAAGATTAGTAAAAATAATTTTCAAAAACTAAAATCTTACGCAAAGCATAATATTCCATGATTAAATATAAAGTTACAAGACTGATATTTGTTTTAAATTCTACAATTTCATAAAAATAAGAATAAAAGTAGAATATTTATTTAAAATAAAAAAAAAATACCTGACTGATATGAAGCTCCCTCCAATGCTTCATTAGCACCTTGGGTGACCGCTCGCTCTTGTTTAAGCATCAAACGTCGTCTCTTGGTTGAGGGCAAACAGGACTTTTCTTTTTCTGTGCCTCATCGTCTGCTCAGCATAAGCTGTGGTATAATTCCCAGGAGATAGACCAGCCTCCTTGTGAACCTACATATTCATGAATATTATTTTAATATATAAATATCCTTTTTGAATAGTGACAAAATAAATTATTTTATTCACAATTGACAAAATTTTAGTATGAATTATAACAAACTGTTTGAAACAACAAAGTAAATTTCAATAATACAATTATAAATTAGTAAAAGTGTTATACAAAAGTGAACACAAACAGAAATGCATTAAGTATGCACTTGCAAAGAACTAAGGTGAAAGATCATTCTTCCTGTCATTCAAGATTCTGTGGGTTTAAATGGAAACCAGAGGGGAAAAAAATATGTCATTGTATTCATAATTCATTTATATTTTGGGTTTTATCTTTTTAGCTGAATGTTCATTGATATTAATATTTTACAGTTTGTTTTCTATTTAATTAGTTTTTTTTATATTGGTAATACAGTGTACATGTAAGTAGATAATGCAATAAAACTAACCAAATAAATAATAAAAAAAA